CTCCATTATTTTCGTCACTCGCTAAGTATCACGCCTCATTGATTTAAAGCGGAGTTACAGATATGAGTAGCAGATGGTCTCCCCAGTGGTTCTCCTGTGGGGATCCTCTCCAGTCTGTGGTTGCGTCTGGATCTATATGTAAAACGTTTGGATCAGTTGCACGTGAGGCCACTTTCACTGTGTGGCTGCAGCACCTGTCCCTGCAACTGGGCCTTGCTTGTTTACTCACCCTGCGACCGTTACTGCAACCTCACGCTTCACTACACAAGAGACAGCAGCTGTGTTGATTGTTTTGAAGTCCAGTAGGAGGAGTCGCTTCATGCATCAGCAGTTTGTCACATACAAATATTGAACACAGATGATTTTGAGATCATTGAGTGCATTTGAAGAGTTGTAAGCTGTTGGATAATTAGCTAACAATCTACCATAGAGCAGTTAGACTTGGACAGCAGAGAGACAAATGCTTTCTGCTGAAGATTGACATTGTTCAACATGTTGCATTTCTGAGGGCAAACTGTAAATAGATTTAGTCAGAAGCAATAAGACCTTTCCCATGTCAGGCATCCTTGCACCCACTGACCTAGAAACAGAGCAATGTTAAAACTCTCATTCTTCAGTGTAAAGCCAGTTTGTGTCCGTTTAAGTCTTTCACAGAGACATATAAGCTAATAGATGAATTCTTAGCATATTATAATTATTAAAGGCAATATCAAGAATGGAAATAGATGTTCGGTAGCTACAAAGCTTACATTTTAAGCACACAAAAGTCAATTGACATGACTACGAACACAAAGCAAGACGCAAACAGCATCATATTAAAATATTTTCTAATGACATATTTGTATCTAATGCATCCTATTTCTTCTACAAGCTTGTGTTTGATCACTGCTCAACGTGCTTAATAGATCCTTTACGTCACTTGCAGTCTGTAATCTGTGCCTGGGAACTCCCCTAGTAGCTGTGAAAGGTCAATGAGGAGCACACAGACTTCTTAATGCCCCACATTCATATGCAGCTACAGGTGCACATATTTAACTTCAAAGCCGGTTAAAACATGAGGACCGTGACAATATGTTTTATAAAAAAGTTTAGCAGCATATAGGCCACCTTGGGTCAGGCTTTCAGGGGCATGATGTGTGAATGGAGCACCTCCTGAATTAGTGAGGCAGGGGATGTCTTTTGTTCTCTTTGGGCTGAGGTGAGGTCTGTCTCAGACAAGGATTATCCCTGGCAGAGTAGAGAAATTCCTCTTCCCAGGGCCCAGTCATGCAGCCCATGATCCATTGTAGGCAGTCAGCATTTGCATATCACTAGTGATCTCAGCTGTCTGCGAGCGAGACATGTCGTCTTGGTTTTAGTGAAGTTAGTTCACAGACTGAAGCTGTGCAACACATCGCTCAGATCTCTCGTCCTCGACTCATTTCCTGTCTTCTGGTTACAGATTGAGATCAAGTTAAAGGGAGAGAAGGTCATGATACAATCACGTCAAATCACAACTATGTTAAAGGAACAGTTTGACATTTCAGAAAATATTTGCTCATGTTTTGCACAAAGACAGAAAATGAGAACACAATCATCTTGCAATTCAAATAATGCACAGAGTGGATTTATTTAATCTTGCATTTTGTGGAGTAACAATTATATTTATTGAAACACAGACAGGTCACCTTTTTTATCGTCTTTAGTAAAAAACAATCAGACAAAATTAAAGATTTCCCTTTTTAAACTAATCACGAATAGTAAGCCCCCGGCCGCATAAATGATGGATCCACAAAGTAAAATAAACTAACATTGAGGGAATCTGTTCTTAATACATACATAATCATCCATCACTTTACTTCTGTATGTTTAAAACACAGTATTTTTTACATGTCTACCATAATAGACAGCTTATATGAGGATATTCACAGTTATTCTGCAAATAGAAATGACCAAATTCAACCAATTGGAAGTTTTTTTTATCACGTTCCACGATAAAATCATCTACTTTCTGTCCTATCCTTAACCTGAGTCAGATTTGTATTGCATTGTGAGGACATGGAGTGAGCGTTAACTCCCCTTCACGTCTCTTCAGCATGTGCAGGATGTCCTCCGACACAGGAAGCTTTATTTAAAAGTCAGTGGAAGAGAAGGGAGGAGACCGGGTGGGGGGGTTTGTTGTGGTGAGTCAGAAAGTACAGCCAGCAGCATGTCTGTGAATCTTCTCCTCTCTCTGCTCCTACTCCATTACATTTCACTTGTTAGACGCTTTTATCCAAAGCGACTTACATACATTCAGTACTGTGGGCAATCCCCACAGCAGCCATTTGGGGTGAAGTGTCTTGTCCAGGGACACAACGACATGCTGACTGCAGTGGGACTCGAACTTGCTACCCCCTGATTCGAAGTTCAGCACACTATCCACTGAGCTCCATTCAACCTGTTTGCATGTCTTTGTGAGCGCAGGCTGAGTAGCTCGTGTTCAGCACACAGTGAAGAGTGAACCCATTGACCTCAGCTCTGCCGGCAAAAACATCTCACTCTGACGTCCCTCCCCATCCTCCCCATGAACTCTGTAACCTCCCCCCGTCTTCTTTTCCAGTAAAACATTTCTCATTCATGCACAGCTCGCTGCCTCCACAAAGCCACTGTGGATGTATGGTTTGAGCTGAAGCTTGCCGTGGTTCAGTGCCTTGTATGGGGACAGTCATCCAAAACAATGCGCACAATATCCTTAGTATGTTCTATTCCTACAATTATTTGAAGTGTCATTCAGGTTCTAGATAGATAGATGGATGGATAGATAGATGGATAGATAGATGGATGGATAGATGGATGGATGGATAGATGGATAGATAGATAGATGGATGGATAGATGGATAGATAGATGGATGGATGGATAGATGGATAGATAGAGAGATGGATAGATAGAGAGATGGATAGATAGATAGATGGATAGATAGATGGATAGATGGATAGATAGATGGATAGATGGAGAGATAGATAGATAGATAGATGGATAGATAGGTACTACATTTGGAATTGTTTGCGTTGCAGCAACATAAAAAAACACAAGGCAATGTACATAAGAGAAACTAAGACACAGAAATAAACAGTCCAATATATTTCAGAAATAGAAATAAAATAGCATTAAAAAGATGAAAAATATATATATACATGTGGAAATACAAATTTTCAGTAACAAATATAATTCAGGATATTATTGTGCAAGAATGGATTATTCAATATTAAATAGAATATGAATGTAAAATGTCCAGTGGGATTTTAAGTCCAGTTATTAAGAGAAGCTATGGAGCAGACATAGTTATAACTTTGAACAAAATGATTACAAATGTATTTATTTCTCAATCTTCGGATATACACTGAATGCTCCCAACCCACGACCAACATTTAATATCCATTGAGAGCAGTCTATAGTGCCTGTGTCCTGTGTGACCATGTCTGTGTTCCTTAACCATCGCTGTTTTTCTTCCTGAGAGAGTTACCGCAGGAGGCGCCTCTGCATTCTTTATAGAGTTCATAACATAGCATTAGAGAGAGAGGACTGAGTGAGGCTTTAGGTGTATACATGTTAGCATAAGGACAAATGTGACCACACTTTAAAAAAAAAAAAAGGGAGCAAGTTGGGTAAACCCCAAAGCAATGCAGTCTCATTTTCTGAAGAATCTGCTCTTTCAGAAAATAAACTGCTGCTGGTGGAAGGGTGGGAAAAGCATGTGCTGATCAAACATTGTGTAAATCACAGGAAACATGATTATGGCTTACAGTGAGGAGAGAGAAGGATGACCACCCTAATAAACTCTAATGTAGGACTTTTCTAAGCAAGCACTGGCTGTTCTAACATGGTCCGTATATTTATATAGTGTACAATTAATGACATGACATATCCCTTTCTTGCTTCCTCAAGCCAAAGTAACTTATATATGTTGCTGGAGAGTGTGGAGTGGAAAAGGCTCAGTCGACATAATATTGTTGACGGAGGATATGGACATATGCATACTTCCTGTTCATCTGCTGGCTTTGACGTCACACTCACCCTCAACAGCTCCTTCTCCACTCGGTATGAGAAATGGCAAATAGTTCCTCTGCGGAAATGCACCTTCTCATCTCATTCCCTGTAAGAAGCGATTAGGGATAACTTGTGCCACGTCACCAGAGGGTCAGTGTTGTTTATCTTAAGATAAAATAACATTTGGAAAGAAATCCTGTTATTTAGACTCCACATTGTAGCTTCCTCAAAGTCCAAAGAGGTCTTGCAACCAGGCTTGGGGAGTAACAGATTACATGTAATGGATTCAATCAGTATACCAAAAAATTACTAGCAGGATTCCAATGTTACTAAAAAGCTAAAAAAAAGCATGTTGTATTTGTTTTAAAAGAAGCAGATGTTATTTCTCCTTTGTTAGCTGTGCTGTTCTGTAAGCTAATACTTTAAGTGTGAATATATACACCTACTGCCTGAATCTGCTTTATGGTTTTCACTTTCTTTGTTCTTTTTCTAATTCAGCAGGTGAACCTATATGTTCATAAAATAGTGTGTGTGAGCTTAATTGTGTGTATTAAACTAACATTTTCTGTCAGTTCAGATTTTATTTCTGCTTTTTAACTGTAGTATGGTCTCATGTGTTAAAATGTTGGTGTGTAGGCTACTGCCTGAATATACTTCATGAAAGGTTTTCCTTTAAATAAAATCTATGAGCAGAGGACACATTTCTTATCCGAAAATATCTTATTTTCTAAGGTGATTTTGTTCTGTTGTCTTGCATAATACACCTATGGGAAAAACATCTTATTTCTTTCTCTTGTTTTTATTTAGAATGCATTTGATATCTAAAGAATCAGAAATCAACAGAAACTAATGAGGATACATTACCTTAATATTGTGACACTCAGATTAGCTTACTGATTAATTTGTTTTGTATAAACATAACTAGTAATTCTATATTTTAAGTCTTCCCGCCTTTCCTGTTTACAAATGTTCAAATCTTTTCTCCACGCAGAACTCCATCAGACACAACCTGTCGCTGCACAGCCGCTTTGTGCGCATACAGAACGAGGGGACGGGCAAAAGCTCCTGGTGGATGTTGAACCCCGATGGGGGTAAGAGCGGGAAGTCGCCGCGCCGCAGAGCCGCCTCCATGGACAACAACAGTAAGTTTGCCAAGAGCCGAGGAAGGGCCACAAAGAAAAAGGTACAGTCCCCCTTTTTATTAACATTATACTCACTCATACAATCAGTTTGTTCTGTATGTGTGTATTTTTCTCACAGCTCTGCTTAATCTCTGTTAATAGAAGTTAGGTTCTTTGAAAATACAGTCATCTGCTCTCTTAGAAAATGTGCTCTAAGTCACGATTGTCCTGTGGAAAATAATCACAATTCAAGATCGATTTAATCATAAAAATGTGTTTAAAATGGCACTAAAACATACTGAATGTACCTAAAATGACCGTAAAGCAATAATTATATTTATTGCTACAAATATAAGACACGCTTTTTTTTAGGAAACATCATCTTTAGTAAAAAACTATATTTATTGAAGTAATCCTAAAGAAATATGTCACGCGGCAAAAATGTATCAATCAATAAAGTAAAAAAATAAAATAGTAATAGTGTTGTTTATTAATGGTAGCCTGGTTCATGTTTTCCTATCTTTAGATGGCTCTACAGGAGGGGGTTGAGGGGGGGGACGGCAGCCCTGGTTCCCAGTACTCCAACTGGCTGGGGAGCCCAAACTCTCACAGCAACGAGGACTTTGAAGCCTGGAGCTCCTTCAGGACGCGCACCAGCTCTGACGCCAGCACCCTGAGCGGCTGCCACTCGCCTTTCCCTCCTGACCCGGACGACCTGGGGGAGTCTGAGGGCCACATGATGTACCCCGGAGCGTCGGGAACCAAGATCACCTCCTCTCTGCCCAGCCTGTCCGAGGTGGCCGGGTCCATACACGGCTCAGAGATGGTCATGGAGGGTCTGCTGGATAACCTGAACCTGCTGCCCCCTAAAACCCCACAGCTGGTGTCTGACTCCACACATTCATCAAATGCTGCCATGCTTCAGAGCGGCCCCTACAGCTCCCCCGGCTTGACCCCGCTCCCACAGAAAGACTACCGTAAATGCATGTACAGCCAGGTCAGGATGAGCAACCTGCCCCCCGCCCCCATGCAGGTGCTCCCACAGACCAAGCCGGGCTTTGGGGCTTATGAGAACCAGTACATCTGCCCTGCTGGCCTCCTCAAAGAGCTGCTGACCTCAGAAGCAGAAGCCAATAGGGAGGTGGGGAGGGGAGGTTGCCAACTGCCCCCTTACAGCCGCCAGAGCCACATGGGAGGTCACAACGGGGCGAAAATGATGAATCCTCCTCAGAGTCACCCTCATGTAAATCCACAAGCTATACATAGACAGGGTCCTCCGAGCTCACACGATTTGAATAGCTGTAACATGATCCCCCTGACTAGTCTGACTAGTCCTTCAGGGGCCCCTCATCGAATGACCAGCCTGAGGACATTCATGCAGCTGCCTCACACACACCCCACACACACTTACTCCGTTTCCACGGGCTACGGCAGCACCAGCGGCTACAGGGCGCTCGGCTCGGTTCACCCTCACCTTCATCACCAGGAGCGGCTGCCCAGCGACCTGGACAACGTGTCCATCGAGAGGCTTGAATGTGACATGGAGACGGTGCTCCATGACACCCTGATGGATGGCGGAGCCCTCGACTTTAACTTTGACCCCTCAGCTGGGTTCCCCCAAAGGGTGAAGACCACCACACACAGCTGGGTGTCAGGGTAGCAGCCATGGTGGGGGACAAAAAGGTGAGACTGACATAAACGCCTGGAAGGAAGTTAATGATAATGGTGTTACCTTGGTTGGTGATTGGCTAATGGTTACACAAGACAAAAAATCGTTATGACATCATAAAGTGGCCAAAATCTGATCAGCTCATTTTCAGACAGGTTTTTATCAGAATCAGAATAACTTTATTAGTCCCACAGAGGGGACATTTACATAGTTAGAGCAGAAAAAAGAGCCACAGACAGCTTAATGTTACATATGTTACATATGTTACATGCATTAAAAAGTACTAAGTTATGATATAATAAAAAATGTAAAAAATATAATAACAAAAAAAAAGGTTACATAGTAACAGTTTTTAGGATTTAGCAGCCAGGTGGGGGGGGGGGGGGGTTCTACTAGGGGCTGTGCTGGTTGTATAGTCTGACGGCTGCAGGAAGGAAGGACTTGCGGTATCTCTCCGTGAGACAGCGGGGGTGCAGCAGCCTGTGTAAATGGATCAGGACAAAAAGAGAGAGAATCTTTTTTCCTGAAACTTTCAGAATCTCTTTCCACAGAGTTGATGTTAGTTGATGTTACATGTTGATGTAGAAGAGACATGAAGAAGTGGATTTTGCATAATAGGTGACCTTTAAAACAATTTGACTGTTTTTCATCTCTGAACATTTTCTATTCCCCCTCACAGGTTTTCTCAGTTGCTGTTCACCTTCATTCAGAGGCTGGACACTGTAAATGGACCACCCGCCATCCTTTTCCATCCTAACAAAAAGTTATTTTAAAATCTGCCAGCATTAGCAAACTAGCCTTTCATAACTGGAAACACATATTTGTTTATTTCTGCTGGTTTATTTTTTATATAAATATGTACAATACCATATATTACATATACAGAAGACAGCGTCAAAATGCCGAACAAGAAAAGCCTTAGTCATTTGGTTGGACTTCAAATTTAAATAGAGATTTACCAACTCACTTAAATGCACTTATAAGTTTAGTTTGACCACACACTGTTCTGTTGGTGGTGGTAGAAGTTTTTTATTTGCCAACACCCAGTGAAAGTAGTGTCGGTTCGGCACAACAGCTTATCTTCAATGAGGTAACATTATCAACGATTATTCCCACAATATAACTCATTAAATAGTTGTTGTTTTTTTGTCCAGGGCTTAAAATGTCAAGAGTGATATAAAAACTGCTCCCAGATCTTTAAAAGAGATCATGATATTATATTCTAGTGGACCATAAACCCTGCTAAATATAAATAAATAACAGGAATTTCCTAATTCAGACTATCCTTATGCTCACACAAGTGGAAACCTATTGAGCTCATTCAACTCGATGCAAGATAAAACGATATATCACTTGCATATTGATACACATTTACTGTATTAAAAAAGCGAATTAAAAGGACCCAGAGGAAATGTATGGAGAACAGGATGTGTTTAGCGGAATAGACTCTTAAGAACCATAAAGCAGGTAATAAAACCAACTCAACACACCCTTAATATGTCCCGATCGGCATAGATTCAATGTTTATGAACAGACAACTTCTGCACTCAAATTGAAAACCAGCCATGTCTCCTCGCCTTAAGATGTCCTTAAAGCTTGTCTGTATATACGACTGAAATCAATAATCATCCATATAGTGTATTGAGGTATTTATTTCAGTTTTAATTTTTATTATAGCTTTTCTTGTAAAGTAAAATGTGTGCCTACGCTGTTCAAATGTACAGTATATACTGCATATGAGACGTGCCTTTTTTCTCTCTTGTTGCATCAAACATATATTGAAGAAGGAAATGACGGATACATTATGAGGTGGCTTTCTCATAATCATCATATCTTCAATCTAAATTGTATTTATACAGCCCAACAGCACACAACACATTTGTCTCAGGGGGCTTTACACATCAACACACATTAATGGCTTTGTAAACTCTAAGTCCATATCAATCTCAAAGAATATAGAGACTGTGTCCTCCTAGTTATGTTGGTGCAATAATTAAGAGTATTTTCAGAAAAGCAGGTGTTTGGGACACCTAAAATGCCCCTATGAATAATGCTTGTTTTTTAGGGCTAAATGTTGCTTTCAGGAGTAACCTACATGAACCTCTGTGACATTAAGATATTTAAACACACTTTAGTCAATACAAAAAACCTTTCAAAACTTCATTCGGATGAACTGAAAAAAAGGAAATTCTTTAAAAAGGGACATTTTTGAGAATTTTGAGATTTTCACCTGACTTAAAATGCATGAAGCAGTGGGAGAAGCAGTAGATTAGGGACATGATGCCTTCACGAGAAACCTACATGAACTTCTGTGACATTAGAGACTTCTACCACAGTTTTAGTTCAGAACAACTTTTTTCAAAACTGTATTTGGATTAACTGGAAATCAATTTTCTCAGTATTTGGGGATTTTCACCTGAAAATGCCTGACGCAGTAGGCGGAGAGGCTGAGGATGGAAACGGATGATCACATTTAGTTGACTCATAAATCATTTTTTACCTCCCAGTTTGTATACACCAAAGCCATCTTACTCTCACATTTCAAAGAAAGTGTGCCAATGATCTGTGCCCACACTGTCTCACAGACGCTTAAAGTGGACCTATCATGCTATTTTTAGGCAATAGCATAGATCTCAGATATATAAAAAACATGTCTATGAAGTGTTTTGCTCAAAATACCAAACAGATCACCCATTCTAGCCATGCCTCATATCCCTCTATTTCACTTCCTGTTTCAAAAGTGCTGATTTTATGTATAAAGCTTTAAAAAAATAATTAATTGATAAAAAAATAAAAAAGGAGGGGGCTGAGCTCATACGGGACCCGGCAGCTACTGTCTAAACTAAATACTGCCGTGATGAAACGCCATATCATGGATTATCAAGGATCTGAAACAGTATGGAGCTCAAAGGCTTTCTCTCTTGCCGGTTATACCACAAGGTGAGTTCCTTTTTATTTCCTGCTTCTTCACACACATGCTCTCCAGTACAGGTTAGCTCTGAGTGTTAGCGATGCTAATGTAAACACCGACCATATTACGTCCAAAACAGTCGGGAATTGTTTCTGATTGGGCCGTGGGTGTAAAGCCAGCCCACATTTCCGATATTACGTCATATCGGACGCAAATCTGAATCAGCTCCGTTGTATCCCCGTTTTTAGAGATTTGGGTACGGAGGAAAAGAGAGAGGGTTTTATTTTCTGACGCTGCGTGAGTTCCCTGACACACCGGGGACACATCTTTATGTATAAAAGACATCAAAAAAGTGCATTTTGCATGATACGTCCCCTTTAATGCTGTACAAATAATTTCTTTAGCAGTACCTTTTTGTATATGAAAGGTTTAAATGACTTTTTATGATTGAACTGGAGTATTATACTATATGTATGGTTGTGTTAGAAATGGTTGTTTACATATCTCAGTCCAGATCATATCAATAAATATACAAACACTCATACCTCAAAAATATTTTACCTCTGAAGTGTTGAAGGAATTTCTCCTGACATTTTCCTCAGTGAGTAATGTATTGCATTTTTGACTCACATATTTTTGTACATATTTTTTTTTGTATGTATTTGATTAAGGCTGATTGGACCTGTGACGCACCGTTTGCCTTTTTATTTCTAGTATTTTCTTGTGCTTGAGGATTATAGCCATTAGTTTCTAGTAAATGTATTGTGCCATAGACGTGTATTTGTGTGAAAAAAAAACTATTTTGAAAGATTAAATGTAAGAAAAAATAAAGTGGATTCATGTGTTTAGACAAAACTCAAGGAAAATGATTCCCTAAAGAGAATTAATTTATTTCATGAAATAAAACTTCTACTTTTGTAATTATTATTCAAGCTTATCAAAATGAATGTGTGATGGGAGCATTTATATTATGGGTTACATTGCTACCTTGAACAAGAGAGATTTTGTTAGGTGCTTTAGTCAGTTATCTTTTGTTTTTTAAAAGAGTATAATGCATTTTTATAATCTTTGACATTAAAGAAATTATGAAACCTACTCATGTGCGCAATTTATTTCAGGAATAGTGGAACACAATTCTGTTTTAGCATGCACAGGTATTTTATAAAAATGCTGTTTTCCATCTATTCAGTGCATCCAATCACCATGTGCACTGACAACAATCTCTGTGTCTTTATCATAGGAGAACATTAAGGATGTTAGCACAACAGCAGCTATTGAAACAATCTGTATTTAAGGTATCTTTTAAGTTGAATTTAATCAGTCAGCTGCTTTGTTGCCATTAACACATTATTTTCAGGGTTTTTAATGAACACCTGGAACATTTTAAGAGGCCCCTTTATGCTATCCAGGTTTCCCTTTTCCTGTAGTGTGTTTTGTTTGTGCATGTCAATGGTCTGCAAAGGCTAAAATCCCAAAGTTCCCAAACAGCGCTCCAACACATTGTACGTGATAGGCTAAGGGGGGGGCATCTCTAAGTGGTTGACCAATTACAACAGAGCCGGACAGCTAACCAATCAGAGCAGACTGGACTCTGGTTTCAGACGGAGGGTGAAAAGAGGTGCTGCAGCACAGGGAGTATGAGAAAAATAAAGAGCTTTTTGAACTTTAAAGCATGGAGACATGTCATAGGACAGACACATTTGCATATGTCCTCTTTAAGATCCTTTTTTTCAGCCTCACTGTTTCAGAATCTGAATCAGAATCAGAAACGGGTTTATTACCAGGCACACGTACGAGGAATTTGACTTGGTGTCGTGGTGCATACATAAAAGTAAAACAAAACAAAAATGAAAAAACACAGATAGCGAACTATTTAACATTAAAAAATATATATAGTAAAATAAAAAATAAAATAAAGCAGTATATGCATTCAAATATACATTTTTAATGGAATAAAATGTAAAATATGTGCAGTAAAAAAAAACAGATATTGTCAACATTCAACATTGTGTGCATTAATGTAACTTGTAGGGTGCAACGCTTTATCTTGCACTATGAAAGCCATTACCACATTTACATGTTATCTTTTGCTGCTATCCACAAACATTCAGTCTTCACTCCATTCATCACTGGATTTGGGGATCACCAAGACTGACTTTTAGAAACAGCTTGACCTAGCGTGACTTGAGGTTATTATCACTCCAGTACAGGGTCGGCTCTAGAACAAATCGAATGGGGGGGCAATCATTTACAAAGGGGGGGGCACACACTGCCGTCAACAACCAACACACAAACACCAACGCAACTTCAAAAAACATGCTGTAAAGTCTGTTGTCTTTCACACACATTGCAGGGTGTAGTGCTATTGTATAGCGCACCTATGACTTGTGCATACATGCACGGTTGTGGCACAACCACCAAAACAGAAACATATAAGGACATAGGCCACCATATAAAAAAGGGTGCAAATGTATTTAGTATCCTATCCATGTGAACATGTTTTAGGTGGGGGTGGACCTAACCTCCTCTAGGAGGGTCTGGGGGCATGCTCCCCGGGGAAGATTATTTTAAAAATATTGAAGTTAAATGCATCAACCTGGTGCACTTTGAGAGCAAAATGAAGAGATCTATGGATAGCCTACATCTCTCAGCAGCATCCATATGAAACAGAACTGTACACAGATTTACTTTTTCTTTATGGATATTTTACTAATCACTCCCCTTTTAAACTGTATTCTTGTGTTACTGTCCTATAGTATTTCATACCCGTTTTTTATTTATTCTCTTATTCTTTAATAACTATAATGATCATATAAAGGTATTCCTCGCAAATACTTGTTTACATAAATGGTGACCAAACCGTTTGAGACCCACTGAGATAACCTACACTAAAGTGAACTATCTAAACACTGAGAGAGTCCTTACCTCACTGAGCTGAGGTTATACGATCCTCTCAGTCTGACAGGAGGACTCTCCTCCACCTTGGTGTAGAAACAGCTCTTTATATCCGTTAGCATAGCTAGCTAACCAGATGCTAACATCAACATTCCACGTTACCGCTCGCGCACTCACAAAATGCGCTCGTGCCACACACACACAGAGCCGAGCTTGAATGAAACGCAGAGACCCAGAAGTAGGCTACTTGTACTGTACTGTATATCATATTATTTTCGATGGCTTTACTGTATAATCAGTGTAACAGATGAACAGATCGCCACCGGCTTTCATCTAAACACACAGCCACGTAATGATAACAAAACAAAGGTCGGGGGTCATTGGTCAAGCAACACACCAATCAGAGAGCAGCAGTGAGCACAGCTCAGGCTGTGTTTTATATTTGTATTCTTTATTTCTGACGTATTTCACACAAAAAAACCTTTAGTGGAAACGTTTTCACTTATATGATTTTTTTTTTTAAACGGCAAAGTGGCAAGGCTTGCCCATCCTGCGTTGGGGGGGGCACAGTGACTCATTTGGGGGGGGGGGGCATGGCCCGCGAATGAGCCCCCATGACGCCGACCCTGCTCCAGTACATCTTAAACCGTGATGCTGCCTGTGAGGAATGAGGTTCGTGCAGAAAGGACACCCGCCATTAAACACACATGCAGCCCAGATGCTCTCATCCCGACCCTCAGAGGTCACACAGGTCACTGAGGTCAGTCAACCCTGAGAGTCAAGGGTCTTTGGGGATTTTTCGGATGTGACATAACACAAATGATACAGCCAAGTCAAATGAATCATATACAACAAACATATCTAGAATATGATCGTCCATTGTTAGTGGTGGTCAATAACTTATTACATTTACCTAAGTACCGTGTAAGGACAATTCTTAGGTACTTTTACTTGACTTGGGTATTTCCATTTCCATGCACTTCATACTTCTACTCCACAAACATTTGAATGTAAATATTGTACTTTTTATTAATGATATAAATATAATCAACAAATGAATAAGTCTTAAGTTGTACATTTAGCAACTACAAAAAAATCGTTAAAGGTTATTAGATTAGCTCCATGTTCACCAGCTGCATCACACACAATAACACATGAAGAAATATAAACTACTCTGAAAATAGCCTTTTTGCATTATGAATACTTTTGTACTTCTAATTACATTTTAAAAGCAAGACTTACAACAGAGTATTTATACATTTACTTCAGTATAGGAACCGAATACTTATTCTACCTCTGTCTGTTATTCAGCTGTCCTCAAACACCCTTTTGAAAATGAAAAGCCTTCCTTCGATGAGTGAGACAGTTATGAGTCACCATGCACTGCAGATACGGCAGCCTTCTCTAAGTGTGTCCTGCAGCTCATTAACGCTGCTGATTTGAGTCCTTAAATTGGCAAACATCATTTACTTCCACTGCTGGTAAGAAAAGTGTGTGTGCGCAAGTCTTTCTGCAATAAAAGCACAACATTGAGTCATGCGGGTGTTATCCTAAAGGACATCTAGGCATTTGAAGTAGGAAGTGCAATAAATGAATGAAACAAGTTGTTGTTCATTCAAATTATACTAGCTATAGCTCCAACACACTGCGTACAAACAGTTCCCAGGGCAGGCCCCCAAATTAAAAGCTACTTTGGTTTCTCCACGAAACGCTGATCACTATCGGAGCACTTTTACAATCATTCAAACTGAGGCTCATTCAGCTTACACTGTTTATTCACTAACTGGCATTGAATGGGCTGTGAGATTAAGGTTTAGGGTCTCCTATGTTGCAGTAAATATACATTATTTTGCAGTGGATAAACATTAAAACCATAACTTCAAACAGATTGGGGTTTCTATTTAGTCCTCATTGTGCTTTAAAGCAGATGTTTTCGTCTTCTGGATGCACTGAATCATACAGCTATAATTGCGGAAGGTTTCTCATTCTTCCCAAAAGACATGT